TCTCACAGTCCGCCCTGAAGACCGAACGGCGCGGGAACACGGCGAGAGGAATGCGCGGAGAAAAGGTAAGTAAATTGACACAGGGGGGACTTGGGGACTTAATATGGGGGATGAATTAATATGGGGAATGAATTACTATGGGGGGATTACTATGGGGGATGAATTACTATAGGGGGGATGAATTACTATGGGGGATGAATTACTATGGGGGATGAATTACTATATGGGGGATGAATTACTATGGGGGATGAATTACTATATGGGGAATTAATTACTATGGGGGATGAATTACTATATGGGGGATGAATTACTATATGGGGGATGAATTACTATGCTTACTATGGGGGAATATTACTATACTTACTATGGATGACACATACACATCATTCATCTACTCTTGGTCCGGCCCCCGGGTCCAATATATTGAACCCATTGCGGCCCTCAAGTCAAAAAGTTTGCCCACCCCTGGTATAGTACAACGATATAAAATAAAGTGACCACACTGTAATGGTAAACTAAATATACTAGTGCTTAATATTCCCCCAAAAAAATATAAGTGCCAAGTGCTAAAAGTGCAAAACAGGTCATGCGGTTGCTGGCTAAATAGTGCCAAAATACAGTATGTGCAAAGTAAAAATGATTCAAAAAGACATTGCACACTCTGCATTCCACCTTTGAAAAGCAATCCTTGCTTGGGTCACTTTTCATAGGTATTTGACAGGCAGCAAGGAGGCAATATGTTGCCTTCTCACTGTCTGTTTTACCCCCTAAATGGGGCTCTACCCCTTGCATTTCACAGGTTGCTGGGCGGTTACAATGTGGCCCCATTTTGCACATGCTCCTGCAACCCACAAATGTGACCCTAGGCTTAATCTGGGAGTGTGGTATGGACTACTGATCTGTGCAGTGGTGTGTTGTCCGAAGGGCCTGTCATGGTGCAGATATGGGGACAACCATTGCTACTTGAAGGTCCCCCAAGGCTGTCATTTTCATTCTCCCTTCACTGCCTGGTGATTCACTGACCCAGAACAAACATATCAGGCTATCAGGATGGGATTGGTCTGATAATGGAACAGTAAAGCCATGTCACTGTGCTGCTGACAAACCCATGAGTGTTTTTTTATTTCTATTTTGCTAAAAAGTGAAATAATTTTGTGTAATTGCTGAGAACACTCTGGAACATGTGACACCATAGAGGGACCCCAGAACTCGTCTGGAATGGATGCAGCGGTGCTCTCAGACGCAGACAGGTGTTTCAAGTATTGTCTCTGGGATGTAAAGTTGGTTTTACAGTCCTTCGTCACGTACTATACACTGGCGGTGTTATGGAAATAAATGCATTATTTATCGCATGGATGTAAAGTGGATGAATGTGACAAGTAACCGGGATTAATCAATGTCTCCGGCCCCGGGGTTGGGTAACCTGGTAACTAGCATTTTCCACCTGCCTGGCTGGCTCATTAATGGTCCGGATCCAACTTCTAGGAAGCCAACTCGGAGAGAACGGTTTATACAAGAAGTGACGGATTACATTTTAACCTTCCGCTGCTAGTGATATAAAATCCATTTATCTCCATCACCTATAGAGTGCAGCGCACTGTGACATCAGTCCGAGCTTTAAAGGCAAACTCCGGTGAAAAACAAAGAAGATTGGGGGGGGGGGTGCAGATAGGGAGTGAGCAATCTATAATCTTCATCCTGCCATTCTACACCTGGCTGATCTGCTAGATAAATCATCATTTCCTCATCATGTTGTCTGTGGGCCCTGGTCTGAGACGGGGGTCAAACTTTGCATTCTTACGCTCAGTATTTGATCACAGATAGTTGGCTTCATCCTTTCTTAAAGTGGACCCCTCAACAACTTTCCAGGTCTACATGAATCGATTCCTGACATGTCACAATATATGACAAGAGTATCATTTTTTTCGCTCTGCCTTTTATCATTAAAAATCTTTACTCCAGTGACTTTGCCTAGGCTGGGATGATGTCATTAGTCTGCTGCAGGCAGGAGGAAGCATTTCCTCAGTCTCCTCTCCCCCAGTGATTGGTCTGCAACAAGCCAAAAGGTATGAGTCTTCAGCAGGGATCTCCAATATGGTACAAAAAAGGTTTTTATTCCAAAAAGATCACATCACAACACAAAAGAAAGTGCAATGCTTCGGAGCTGCGCAGGACCCCTTCATCAGGCATGTGATGTCTAACTAAGGGGTGCTGTGCGTGCCCGAAACGTTGCACTTTCTTTTGTGATCTTTTTTGCAATAAAAACCTTTTGTAGACCATATTGAGATCCGTGGTGTGCTGGCGAAATATGTATGTTTGCTTATGATGTTTCCAGTCCTAGCTGGTAGTCGTTACAGCACCCGCTATTGATGAGCCATATGTCCAGGAATGTATGCGAAGGGAATATAGTTATAGTCTTCAGCCGGGGCTGATCCGTGTGAGACATTTGTGAACACAGCCATCTGGATCTAAATGGTTATGTCATCTCTGAGCCAGTATCTCTAAGAAATAGGGGGTGTACCACTGGATGATGCCTGAACCAAGATGATGCCATCCTTCTGGAGAAGGAAGCAGATTAAGCATTGCTAAGAGGAGTACTGTGAAATCTGTGAAAGGTAATAAATACCTGGAAGTGTTAAACTGACACATTACTCGGCATGCTGCACTTGGAACTTTAGAAAAAACATGGTGAACAGGCAGGATTTTCAATGGCAGAAGGGACATACTTTTTCAGGCCATACATGGTTCGAATTCCGAGCGATTTTTCGTCCAAAAATCGAAAATGTTGATCGCTCTGTAATCCAATGGTGCCATCGATGATTTAGAAAATCAGGCCGACCAAGTCATAATGTTCACCCCATATAACAGGTGAAAACTTCTGTTCCTTCCAGGTCCCGGCTCATGCGCATATTCTTTTCGGGAAAACCGATCGTATGATTTTACCATCATTGACCATCGGTCGTTTTTAACAAATTTTTCAACATGCCCAATCACCAAAAGGAGAGGAACTGTGAAAAATCGGCCAGTGCCATTGACCCACTAATGGAGAGAAAATTGGCTGATTATTCTTAGGTCTGATTTTCGGACAAAAAATAGGTTGAATTTCGACCCATGTCTCTTCTGCATTGAGCTGATTCACACATGTGCGGTGCGGATTGAAGCTCAGGTTTCACAGCTAATTTATACAGTAGTTGTTCAGCGGTTCACGTCAGGTTTACATCAGGTTCAGGACAGGATCAGCTCAGGATCTTATCCTGTTCACACATATACAGTTTAGGAATCAGTTCCCATAGAAGTCAATAGCCTGTAACAGGGGTGGACTGACCATTTAGCCACTCAGGCACTTCCCGAGGGCCCAGGGCCAGTAGGGGGCCCCATGAGATGCCCCTGGTACCTTTCATTGGCTTTTTCATAGGCTTTTTTGGGTGTGGGTGAGGACACGGGGGCTCCATAATCCCCTATGCCTGGGGGCCCCATGAGCTGTCAGTCCACCCCTGGCCTGTAATCTGCACCTGAACCTGAAGGCACTGCTCAGAAATCGGACAGGACTCTTTTTCAAACCGCACTGAATCTGCACCGCCAGTACACCGGACATATGTCAACAGGCACCATAGGAAGCAATGGTATTTCACATGTCATGCAGACTGAATGCATCTAATCCACATATATGTGAACCGGCACTAGTTTGTTACCTGCCTGTCCACCCTGTAGACTGCACTGTACGCAGGCAACTCAGTGTACAGTTTCAGCAATGGCGAGATGAATGAACACAGTGTAATTTAGTCATGGGCAATGAAAATGGCCGATGATCAATACCTGGAAGCAGACCGGCTGAAGATGTCAGCCTGCAGGGTGCTCCGGGACATGGGAGTATATTTCCGTTTTAACATACATATATCTCAGGACAGGTTCACTTTTAAACATTTCAGTTATGTACAGAACCCTGCCGGCCCCTCCCACCAGCCATGTATAGACAAGCACAGAGACCCAGTATAAGCTGGAACGCTCCCAGTGGCATCTAGATGATTTAAAGCCTCTTGGCAGGATAGAGAACTTTGCACCGTCTGTTTTCCATATATCCTCATTAGTATTCTCTGACCCCTCACTGATGATTTTTTTCTTCTGCAGTTTATGACATATAATTAAAACAGGGCGGGCGGCTGACAAAGGAGCGCAATGTTTATTTTTCTTCTCTGAGCTGTCAATACTAATTATCTGAGCGGAGCTTGGCGGCTCGGGCCAATCAGGAGGAGAGTAATGGTTTTGTTTAGCGAAGCGACGCATAAGCCAACCAGCAGCCCAGGCTGTCCACTGCATGTGTCATGTTATTACTCGGCATCACAGGAAACATCAAAGATTTGTCAGGGAGATTACAAGAAGACCTTTATTCATATCCTTCAACTCGCTGCTTCCCACAGACTCCGCCACATTGCGCAAAAACTCTGCGTATTATGAAGATCTGTAGGTACAGGTGATCTGTGACGGGTCGTTCACTAAGTTGTGCAAGCTGCGATCTGTGTTTTATCCCGCGATCATTGTCTCATTATTCTGTTTCGTTATATTGATCATTCAGCGCGGTATTGATCATTTTCATTACTCACTACTAAAATATATTTTCTGCTTTCTCACAAAAAGTGAGTTTATATATAAAGAGTCACTCCAACCAAAGTTCTGGGTCCATACACCTGCTGTGCCCACTATGAGGGGTTCCCACCATCCCTGTATTGCGTTCCCAGGTCTGTACACTTGCTTTGTCTATTATGAGGGATTCCCACCATCTTTGCACCAGGATCCAGGGTCTAAAAACCTGCTATGACCATTATGATTGGCTGCCACTATGTCTGGTGATTTTTGTTTATTTTGCATAATAATATTAATGTAATAGGAGGAGTGAGAGGCGGGAGGTGAGTTGGAACACCCAAGTGGCCAGGATTAAGTTGGGAATTATAGAAGGGGATTTCACTGTACTGATTCCTGGGTCTTCCCACCTGCTGTGCACCTTATGAGGGGTTCCCACCATTCCTGCACTGAGTTCCTGGGTCTGCCCACCTGCTGTGCCTATTATGAGGGGTTCCCACCATCCCGGTCTTGATTTCCTGGGTCTGCCCACCTGCTGTGCCCATTATGAGGGGTTCCCACCATCCCTGTGCTGAGTTCCTGGGTCAGCCCACCTGCTGTGCCCATTATAAGGGGTTCCCACCAACCCTGTCCTCAGTTCCTGGGTCTGCCTACCTGCTGTGCTCATTATGAGGGGTTCCCACCATTTCTGCACTGAGTTCCTGGGTCTGCTCACCTTCTGTGCCTATTATGATTGGGTCTGCCTACCTGCTGTGCCCATTATTAGGGGTTCCCACCATCCCTGCCCTGAGTTCCTGGGTCTGCCCATCTGCTGTGCCTATTATGAGGGGTTCCCACCATCCCTGTCCTGAGTTCCTGGGTCTGCCCACCTGCTGTGCCTATTATGAGGGGTTCCCACCATCCCTGCCCTGAGTTCCTGGGTCTGCCCATCTGCTGTGCCTATTATGAGGGGTTCCTACCATTCCTGCACTGAGTTCTTGGGTCTGCCGGCCTTCTGTGCCTATTATGATTTGGTCTGCCCACCTGCTGTGCCCATTATTAGGGGTTCCCACCATCCCTGTCCTGAGTTCCTGGGTCTGCCACCTGCTGTGCCTATAATGAGGTGTTCCCACCATCCCTGCCCTGAGTTCCTAGATCTGTAGATCTGCTATGCAGAGGAGTGAGAGATGGGAGATGAGTGGGAACACCCAGGTGGACAGGATCATGTTGGGCATTATAGAGAGGGAGTTCACTGAGTCTGACAAAGCCCAAGACACTACTTTTGGGTGGTCTGACCCTATGATTTACCATGACACTGAACTTAGATATATCCAATACATTTTTTATTAAAATTGTATTTTTTGTGACTCAGAAGCCATCATGTAGAATATTTCGGGCTGTAGATGGTATATGAAGTCTGCACATTGTAGGTGATCGTCTCTTTTTTTGTTGTATTTCTTTATAATGGCGAAATATCACGCAGATGGAAATTTAATCGCAATAGAAACATTTTCTCCCGTTCTCATTAAGAATTGATTGTCTCCCCTCCCCCTTCCAGGGGGAACTGATGGATTTTATCCTGAGTTTCTAGTTAGTATTTCAGACAAAATGAGGAGAAAGCTGAGATCTGATCTGGGATATATTATATCATAATTATCTTCTGCCTCATGTTTGCGGTTTCCATGCAATGGGCGAGGGGGATCACTTTCTGCAGCCGCAGCACAGAGGGAAAAACCCTTCTATGTCAAGTGGGCAATTCATACGTTAAAAGGGCACTGCGTGGAAATTAATTCACATTATATATGACTTTGGTGGTCAACTTTCTTGATATGGGGGCCACAAGTGTGGCCAGCAACATAACCAAGGGCTGCACTAAGAAATCAGTAAATATTCATTATTAAAGGCAGCAGGCATACAGAATATAGTTAGACTATGGGCATGATACAGGAGGCTGCAAACATGCTACCAGTGGTGTTGGAGACTGGGGACATGCTTCAGAAGACAGGCATAGACTGGAGACATATTTCATCTGGCTGCTAGAAATGATTGCTATAATAAGTCAATCGGGAATCACAGATTAGTGTCTGCAGGGGTCCTGAGGGCTGCTGCACAGAGTGTCAAAGGGCCACAGGTTGGGCACCAGGATGCATGAGATGATAGCATAATTATCAGTCACTCTGCTCATACCAGGCTGCTAGGTGTATTCCTGGACTCTGACCTCTTCTTCTGGTCCCACATCCAGTCGCTACAGAATCTTCCTCTGTTCCTTCTTATTCACTGACACCACCCAGCTATTAATTCTCTCAATGGTTATCTCTTGCCTTGGCTATTGCAGCTCCCTCCTCGTTTTCCTACACCTACACAGGCTATCCTCCTGCCGGTCAATGAATTCTGCTACCAGTCTCGTCCACTTTGCCAACCACTCAGTGCCGCTAACCCTCTCTGCCAGTCCTTCCACTGATGTCCGCTCAACCAACGAATAAAATTCACAAAATACAAAGCCATCCACAACTTTTCCCTTAGCCATATCATCAATCTCATCTCCAAATATCACCCAAGCCATCCTCTTCACTCCTCCAAAGACCCCCTGCTCTCTGGTCCCCCCCTGCCATGCTTGTCTCCAGGACTTCAGAGCCTCTGCCATCCTCTGAAATTTCCTACTCCAATTTGTCTGGCTATCTCCTACTCTGTCCACCTTTAGGTGATCCCTGAAAATTCATCTCTTCAGGGAAGCCTGTCCTGCCTCCACCTCACAACAGTACTTTTAGTTTCTTCATCAATTCGTCCCCCCAAAAATGTTGTATCACTTTCCCTCCCTTTTAGATTGTAAGCTGTTCAGAGCAAGGCCCTCCTTACCCTCTTATCTTGAATTGTATTGTAGCTGTACTGTTTCTTTTTATATTTAACTGCTTCAGCTCCGCCCCATAGTAGAAATACTGCTACAGGGCGGCAGCGGTGCGCAAAATCACGTATAAAAGCACGCACCCTACCCATGCCGCCGTTCGCGGCCGCGGCTGTCAATCACCGGGTCCTGGGCAGTGATTACTCGTCGGTGCCCGGTGATTGCCGAGGAACTCCAGTAAACAAAACTGTTTTCTTCCCTGTCAGCTCCTGCACACTACTTTGCATGGCTGTGCACAGCACAGTGAAGCACAAACACAGCACACTTCGTATAATGGCACACAACACACAGTTAACTCTTTGATCACCTCATATGTTATGTTAACTTTTTGATCGCCCATAAGCAGTGTGCTTACAGTGAAGCACAAACACAGCACACTTAGTAAAATGGCACACAACACGCAGTTAACCCTTTGATCGATCCCTTCATGCCCAGTGTCATTAGCACAGTGTCAGTGCTTTTTGTTAGCACTGATCACTGTATTGGTGTCACTGGGGATGTCAGTGACACCAAGTCAGTTCCCCCCAGTCTCAGAATGCCCACCGCAGTCCCGCTATAAGTCGCAGATCGCCGCCATTACTAGTAAAAATTAAAAAGTATCTATACAGCCATTTGTAAACTCTATAACTTTCACATAAACTAATTAATTTACACGTATTGGGATTTTGTTTTAGTAAAGACATGTCGCAGAATACATTTTGACCTAAATTTATGAGGAAATTAGATTTTTTTACTGGACATTTAATAGCAAAAAGTAAAAAAAATTTTTCTCAAAATTGTCGGTCTTTTTTTTTTTTTATATAGCACAAAAGATAAAAAACGCACAGGCGATCAAATACTACCAAAAGAAAGCTCTATTCATGGGGAAAAAAGGACGTAAATTTCATTTGGGTGCAGCGTTGCATGACCGTGCAATTGTCAGTTAAAGTAAGGCAGTGCCATAACGCAAAAAATGGCCTGGTCAGGAAGGGGGGTAAATCCTCAGGAGGGCAAGTGGTTAATGAGCAGTGCAAACTGTACAATCCAGTGGTGCGATATCTAGGAGCGCCTTTGCCGGCCTCTGACACTCTTGGCTGGTTTTCTTCCTTGTTCTGATCTTTGGTGGGTTTGATTGGTCAGGCAGAGATGACATCACTCCCTCCCAGAAAGTGTCTCTTCATAATTAAAAGCATATACCTATTCAAAACTTTTTTTTTAAAGTAAACCTCCACTTTAAAGAGGATCTGTACCCTACCCAGCTAAAATTGTATTTGTAGTTCTGGTAATTATTTCTGTATGTAAATTAAAAAATACATACTTACTAGTCCATGAAGTCCAGCGTTGTCCTCCTTCCAGTCCAATGTTCTTATCACTCTGCTCTGGGATCACCACCTTGGACCGTCGTCCCACACAGACACATTGTGGGTTTATGCCAGGACCTTTGGACCCTCTATGGTATGAGATCATGTTGCTTACCTCATCTGTGCCTAGACAAGGATGCAGGAAATAAACAGTGAAACAATAAAATTTTAAAAAAAAATCTTGTTTACAGTGCCCTGAAAAAGTATTCATACCCCTTGAAATTTTCCACATTTTGTCATGTTACAACCAAAAACATAAATGTATTTTATTGGGATTTAATGTGATAGACCAGCTTTGCACATCTAGAGAGGGACATTTCTGCCCATTCTTCTTTGTAAAATAGCTCAAGCTCTGTCGATGGAGAGCGTCTGGGAACAGCAATTTTCAAGTCTTGCCATAGATTCTCAATTGGATTTAGGTCTGGACTTTGGGCCATTCTAACACATGAATATGCTTTGATCTAAACCATTCCATTGTAGCTCTGGCTGGATGTTTCGGGTCGTTGTCCTGCTGGAAGGTGAACCTCCACCCCGTCTCAAGTCTCAGACTCTAACAGGTTTTCTTCTAAGATTGCCCTGTATTTGGCTCCATCCATCTTCCCATCAACTCTGACCATCTTCCCTGTCCCTGCTGAAGAAAAGCATCCCCACAACATGATGCCACCACCATTTTTCACGGTGAGGATGGTGTGTTCAGGGTGATGTGCAGTGTTAGTTTTCTGCAACACATAGCTTTCGCTTTTGGCCCATAAAGTGAAAATTTGGTCTCCCCTGACCAGAGCACCTTCTTCCACATGTTGCTGTGTCTCCCACGTAGAGTGTCATCAGAGGGCTGCCTGATAGGATCTCCTAATGATGTCAAAGAGGAAGATGGCGGCAGGACAGCAGTGGGTTCACTTGGCTGAAGTGTATACTATTTCAGCTCAACCCAGAGGGCGAGGTAAGCAGGGGTTAAGATCAAAATTTAACCATAGGGGGGTGAAGTTCTTACTGAGGTTGGCCATAGAGGCTCGAATTGTGGCTGAACTCTGTGAATCGGCTGAAATTCAAGTCATGGGAAGCCATGTGAACATCACCCAGCTTGACAAACTGAATAAGAAATCATAGGTGCTGGGTATAAAAAAAAAAAGGTTGGGTGAACAGTGATTGCGCCAAAGGGATGCAGCCACTGAGGGTGCCCGCTGTCAGAATACAATAGCTGACGGGATAGTCATCATTCACACTGCCAGCAAGGATAGGGAAATCTACGGATTTCTCTCTTTCAGTGCAATGGAAATCTTTAACGGATACACTCACCTTTTTACAAAAGAAAAATTAATGCACATTTTTTTGCAGGTAAAAAAATATGCAGTTATTTTTTTTTTTCTGGAGCCTGTAAAGCATTGCACCAGTGATCAGTAGATCGCTGATGCCATGCAGGTCTGCTGCAGACCTGTCAGTGTATCTGCTTGGCCGTATGGGATGTACGAGCAAGCAGATATACTGACTGGAAGGATCAGTGAACTACCACGGCACTCCACAGTTCTATGGTAGTCCATTGACAACTACAAGGCTGTCAGGACTTGTAGTTCATTTATTCACAGAACTCTGAATGATACAGGCGGGCGGAGCCCTGTACGACTGCATTTTTTTTTTAACTTTGACAGCGGGGAGAAGATCCC